CCCTTTCATTTGTACATACACTTTCGGGAAAACAAGAAATTTCACACCTTTCCCCCACTAACTTTGGTTTAAATCGCTATATTCTCGCTTGTTGAAGGTATATAGCATTATTATAGATTACCCCTGAGGTACATATAGGCAGAAGTGAATTATATTTAGATCAATCGTATCTTGTATAATCACTTATGTAGTGTTGTCGTAGATTAACAACACGTACTATGTGTATGGTTTCAGTTATTAGGCATTTGGTAATATGCCCGTGATAGCCACGCCGAGCTCAGAAAATAAATACATAGGTTAATGTTTAGAGACATTGCAGATAATTTATGTAATACTTAGCTTAATATGTTCTTCACCTAGCTCTCACATGAAACTGGGAACTTCTTATTCTAGGTGAGGTGGATTGTTACACAACTCTTAATTGTGTTTAGTTATGTGTATGTTAAGATAGAAAAAAATAGAAAATTCTATCTGGCAATGGCGTAGACAAGGAATTGATTTTTGCCACAAGACGGCATGGCCATGGGTAAACTATAATTTTCAGCTTAGCATCAAATGTGGTATAACATGCAACTGCCTAAAATAGACAAATTTAGAATTGTTTTGTCTATTTAAGGCAATTGTTTTACCACATTTGATGCTAAGTTGTTTGAAGACTCTCTGCCACGCTGCTCCCTAGTTATATTGCAAAGTATGTATAAATTTCAGCCATTTACAATTAATTTATACCTTTCCTTTCGTGCATAAAATTTCGTGGAATTTATTAAACTAGTACAGGTGAAATAAACCATTAAATATACCCCGTATATACCCAGCCGAGGGAAAACAAAGAGAACATGCCAACACATTTAAATTTATATATACTCGTGATAAAAGAGCTAGTCGGAAGGCGGAGATGGGAAGGTCCCCGGTGATATAAATTGGTAAACAATTCTTTCCTCCTTGGCGCTAATTGAATCTTTAGTAACGATAATTAACCATCCTATACCTATTGAGCAGCTCGTTGTTCTGGACTTACCAAATTGTATAGTGAATTGGATAATATATTTCTTATCAAACCGGCTGACGATTTTTTTTCCGAATGGGGTTCAGTTCCTTCAGGGGTCCCACAGGGAACAAGGACTGGGACCCAGGTTGTTTTTATTGCTCATAAATTACTTGGTTCTTAATAATCTACCAATTCATATTCAATGAACTTGTTTTTTACTTCAGTATTCGTATTTATTCCTATCTTGTTAGAACCTTTGTAATTTAACCTTTAAGATTACAAAGGAGTGTTTGAGATTATAAATTCTGATAAGGTTATTCAAAGAATTTCTTCTCTAATCTCAATATTATAAATTGCGCTAGTAATAAATACTTTAAAAATGGGCCGGGATCATGCAGTTTTTAAATTATTTTGAACTTGGAGTTTGAGTTAAATTAAATCGTTCGTGTGTGACATACACACATTTAAGTTCATTTGCACTTTTCATTTGCACTATATAAATTATTTAAGTTGTTTAAATTAGTTAATTAGGTAATCATTTAAATGAGTAAATTGTTTTTAACATGAATTATTATTTACCTTCTAATATTCTCTTTGCACACAATTGTACTGAAAGGATCGTTATTTTATGATGTTGCCAGGTTGCATGTATATCACCACGTTTTGGCGCAAAAATATATTTGTTGCAACATGGGTTGGAATTGCCACTCCAAAATATTTTTAATATAAAGAAGAACATAATTAGTGCTTTTGGAAAATAAACCTATAAGGAGGGACCTTCAACAATGTTTGTTAGTATATAGGCGCTTTAATCATAAATAATTTTGTTAGTTTTTCATTAAAATTAACACGGTTACATTGTTTGATGCAGAGGAAATTTAAATAATTCTTCCCTGACAATATCAGACTTAAAAAACTATAAAATTCCGAGTGAAAAAGACGTCGATTACAAATCACTATGCTGCTTCAAACTGTGATATGCAAATTTGCGTAAAAGCGATGCCCGCTAAGGATGACGGTAGGAGGCTGTATGTTTGTCTTCAAACGGAATTGTTGTCGCCATATGAGCAAGCAATATTTTTTCGAAAGCCAAAAAGCAACATTTTGCATCGACAAATACAATTTAATAATCGGCAAGTTAGTGGCGAAGAAATTTTGTTGAAAAGACGTCAGTTTGTGATAAGGTTTCCTTTAAAATTGTACGCGAAAACCAGACAGGAACTAAAGGAGGTGAGTTGGCTTCACCCGCGATGGACTGTTTTTTCAAAGTATAAGCTCAACTGCTTTTCACGGGAACTTAAGGTTATTTTAAATCTATTTTTACAAATGGAATTTTGATCTTTGTGTAAATGACCTATATATAGTTACCCAATATGTTGTTCGAATAATTATTTGAAAGGTTTTAGTCTGGCAAAATGTTTTCAATTTTTTTAGCGCGAATATACCTGAATTCAAATGAGTTGAATACAGTAAGAAGAAAATATACGTGTTAATAAGGATCAAAGTAAAAGTACTGATTCCGAGTGATTAAAAATTATATTTACTCAGTCGTTGTTTGTAGCAAGATTAATAATTAGTTTCCCATGTGCCAGTTTTATTCGAATAAACCGTTTTTATTGGATAAAGAAATCGAAATGATACAAGTTTTATTATTACTTTTCAAAGGGTTACTTTTCAAATTCGGGACATAATTTGGGGATATCTCTAAAGCATGCGAAATTTCTCTTTACAACAACATCAATTAAACTTTGCTCAACTGGTCATGAAACAAGCGCTAATTTAATAGACATTTAAAAATCTGTTGCATTTTGTTATACTAAAACTGATTCTGGCGAATTTTTTTCAAAATAAGTTAGACACATGCCCAGTTATTTCTTTTACGCAGGGAATGCTTCCTAATTATTTTCTGTCGTTTTGCATAATTTGCCCACTGATTACCCTCCTGAAGAGTGACGATGGCCCTCAGGCTCAGGTCGAAACGCCGAGAAGTGTTTTGTCTATTTTAGGCAGTTGTTATAACACAATAATTGATGCTAAGTTGTTTGAAGACGCTGCTACAGTCAACAGTCTTTTTAATTTTAAGCAACATGGTCTTGCACATGCAAGACTTATTGTCTAAAGATTTTTTCCTTTTGTCCATAACTATTATATATGATTGCCCCAAAAAACCCTCACTATAACAATGGGGCCGGGAACAAGCAGTTTTTACATGATTTTAAACTCGGAGTTCGAGTTAAATTGAGCCGGTTTTGACATTTTTTTAACACTCAATTCACTTAAATTTGCATTTAGTTTAATTGTTTAAATTAGTTAATTAAGTAAACATTTAAATTGGTTAAAATGTTTTTAATATGAAATATTAATTTCTTAACGTTCACTCTTAAAAGCAACAGTCGGATGTTTTTATGTCCACGGTTACGCATAAATTAAATTATGTCTGTTAATATATAGGTGCTTTTAATCATAAGTAATTTTGCCAGTTTTTCCACAATAAATACGCGACTACATGGTTTAGGTGCAGAGGGGATTTCATCTTTCCTCACAATATCAGGACAAAAAAATCTCCTGTTAAGGTATAGGTTTCATTGAAAATAATTAAATGAAAATAAAAGAAGTTTTGCGAGTTAAAGGATAAACTAACTTAGATATTGATAAGTTATAGTTGTATTTTTAAAAGGAAATTGATGAAATCATTTTCAAAATCGGTACATTATTTCGGGATGTCTCAAAAATATGCAAAATACGCTGTATAAAGTGAACTATTTTAAAATTAAACTTTGCTTAACGGAAACACGCAATATTAATAAACTTGGCCAATTGGAATAAATCGTGGTTGCATGTGACATATTTTTTTTATCTTGTTCTCGTCCGGCGGCTCATCCAGCTTCCTGCTTCTTTGTGCATTAACCTCAGTTGCGACTTACGGATGCCGTGAGGACTGTTTTCCATTTTTCTAGCGCACCACACGTGGCGTTAACAAAAGTTTCATTAATAATAGTGCTTTCGCAACGCGTACGTATTAAAGAAATAAAAAATGAGTCGCATGCCTTTATGGTGTAATAATAACGATAGTCCGAGGGTTTTGAGATTTGACCAATTTGTATAATAATAACGATGGGGAGGGGGGTTTTTGAGATTAGATCAATAGTGAGATTGTCTTCACATGTTAACGTTATTTAAGATGTTACTTACTTTCCTCAATAGAAGTCTAATATATAACGTATTAAAACGAACAGAGGTGCAGAGTGAAGTAAACCAAAATGGCGGATTAAAATATACAACCCAATGAAAGCGCCAACAACTAGCTTAGAACAACTAGCTCCGGAATGGCTAGTAAATTTGTGATTAGTGTGTCAATAATGAAATAAAAAAGCAATTTGTTGCTTTTTTGTCCCGGTCTTTCATTAATTGAACTGCACCATCCCAAAATGTCGCATTTCAAAGCTTGCATGTTATAGTTGAGATCGCAATATTCTTTTAAATTACGGGCAATAATACACTCAATTATTCCAGTTTGGATTGACATCATAAAGTTTCAGCTCTCTTACTTTCCTTTAAATAGACAAACTTCATTGCAAAGGCTAACGCTATATTTAGCCATGCTTTAATCACCAAGTAAAGAAGACGTTTTGTATTATCTCGTCAAAAGACAGTGGAATTCAATGTTGATTAAGCTTATTGTCACAAGCTTGACCTTGTTACTTATAACTGCAAATATTAACGCCAGCAGTTGTTCTCAGAAGAAATACGACGCCATAATAAAAGGTTGGTTATTTTGCTTTTTTTTTACCGGTTGAAAATATTGTCAGGAAAATCAGTTTCTATTATCTCTAAGGCAAAAAAAACGTAAGTGGATGCCTTATTTAGAACACATATACCTACATTAGCTAAACCATTAAACATTTCCTATTCAAAATATAATTCAGCTAATTATAGGTTTAAATATTTAGGACGCTCATTATTACCCTCTGATGAAATAATATCAAGACACAACGTAACATCCGAGTTTGTAATGTTTGAATGTTACACACTCTGCAATGGTGAAGAAAATTGTGTTGGTTTCAACTACAGAACAACACAAAATATCGAAAATTGTCAACTGACAAACGTCACCAACAACAGAGGCAACTCTAAGAAAGGAGATTGGATATTGATGCGTCTTGATATAGCGGTACGCGAAATATATTGGTTAAAGTTTAAGATATTTGAGAACTAACACACGGCTTAACAAAATAGTGGGGGAATGTTTTCTAAACACGGTTCGTAAAAATGAAAGTCTAGGTCGCTTTGTAGAGAATAATAATTATATGGGGGGGTTACTGTTATGCCCGGCTTAGTGATCGTTGTTTTACAATATCTCAACTTGACGTAATGGGTGTTGTTTGATCTTTGTCGCGATGTTTTTGACGCTTCAAAACACTTTTGCGTGGCCCCACTTCAACTTTGGACAGGCATTATTTACCATGATGGCAGTAGAGTAGCCAGCCTGGCGGTTTATTCTCGCTGAAATATTAGTACGTAGCCATATTTCATTGTTCATGGAAGAAGCTGTTGGTTACCACCTCATGAGGAAATCTATCGAATTTCACGGTATTTCTACAATGAAATTTGACCACTCCATACATTCACATACATTCAAGAGTGGACTAGCCTGGTAAATCTACCTATACCTATAGAAAGACGGTGATGCCACGGTGTTACCCTCCTAATTCTGTTGAAGGGATGGCTATTAATACCAGTTTGAACCGCAGTTCATAGAAACATTTTAATACAAAAATAAAGATTTGATAACATTGTTTCATTAACAAAAGCATATGTTATATTGATGGAATTTATAATGTCATTTAAAGGTTGGTGAGAAAAACAATCCTGGAAAGTCGTGTTTAGACATTCTTCTACGGAAAAAAACAGCATCTTTGGGAAACGGAGAATACTGGATTAAATTGGACAATAAAACATTAAAAGTTTACTGTGATATGAAAAGTGATGGAGGTATTATTGCAATCATACTTATTATTCAAATTATGCATTTTTATTGATCAATATTATTATATAAATCGCAATATATGCCTCGATACAATAATGGAAATTAACAGACCCATACGAAGGATGTAATATTAGAAGCATGTTAAAGAGCAGTTAAATTAAGCGGGGTTACAGTCGCTTCTGCGCATGCATCAGATCAAGTTTTAAAATTGTCCAAATTTCTTTTTGTTTCGTTTTTCGCTTCGTATCTCTCTGAACATCTTTTGTATTATTATATTTAGAAATATAGTGAACTAAAAACGTGTCAAATAGTCTAAAGTTTTTGATATGTTAGGAAATAATTTTATGCGAATTGCAGACTAGACCCATCTTTTAGCATACATTGATTTTTTCTTCATCCAACAGCAAAAATTAATCTAATATTTTTAAGACGAAAATTGGTGGTCGAAATCTATACTTAGCTGCTTCAATAAAATCAAAACAAGGAAATTAATTTTCCGGAAGCGGTGAAAAACACAGGATTACTTTAATATAATATTGGTGAAAGATAAAACGTCTTTGTTGCTATTTAAAAATCAAATCGTCAGACTTTATAATTATGTAGTAATGTATCACAGCTCCATCCTCTATAGGTGGCTGGACACTGGTTACTAACCTTGTTGTAAATCAGTCCAAAGGAATGGATGTCTTTCTGACAGATGATTATAAACAAATCAGTGAATACAAAAACCAAAAGCTTGCAATATCTACGTATGCTCTTCACGACCTCGCATCAAACATGTCGTTCAATCAACTCAGATTTTTCTGCCGTAAAAAGACTGTAGGACGAGTCTTTGATATCGCTACAAATAAAACCAACAATCTTGGTCAAGAAGTTATTAAGTATTTTACTGCTCAGACAAACACCCTCCCCAAGAGCTGTGGATCTTATTATCGTTTACCTGATGACAATTCGACCATGGCCAGTCAGTGTGCTCAGTGGGGTTATGAATCGGGAAATTTCCATGTTGGTAAATGGCATTACGAAGGACTTCCGGTGAAATATCGTTTATTTGATATTCCGGTCTTTATTGGCTTCAAGGTTCACTGTTTAATTCAACAACCACATAGCCGTTGGGAATGCGATGATTACTCTTGGGATAATAATGACACATTGTCGCGCAATGATTTCTGGAAAATTTTTGTTCGTTAAAATGCTCCTCTACCTATTCTACATCGTAGCCGTACCAGCAACTTTTAAATCTGATTTTCTAAATCTTTAATAAAACTTATTAATCAGAGACGTAGGAAGGATTTTGGGGAAGGGGGGTCGAAAAACTAGGCGAGGCCAGGCCGTGTTATTTATTATTTGTATTATGTGACTACATATTATATTATTTATTAGTGATTAGTATCCGCTTTAGTCTAATTCAAGATCTAGGCAAAGGAAAGGTAAATAAATAAATTACCGCAGCTAGAAAGAGCCTACTTAAATTAAGATTTCAGAAAGTAGTCATGCGAATTTTGCAAATTTTGCATACTTTTGTTAATTTTAATTTGTGTTATATGCGTAAATTCAAATTATTTACACATTTCGCGGCAAATGTTTCATGATATTAAACATGGCAGTTTATCAGTAATATAACATTTACAGTACGCGCGTGTTGAATCGTCGAGAAGCGTGTTTCTGTACCTGTTTAGAAACAATCGAATCGAATCATAACATTTGTACATAATATTTTTATTGAGTTATATAAGAAAAGAAATAGCAAACATTTTTTCCTGTGTTTCTGTACAATTATAGAAACACGCGTGGGAATTTGGGAGAACTCGAAATAACGTGAAAAAACTCGCCCTACGGGTTCGTTTTCGCACTGATTATTTCTCGATCTCCCAAAATACCACGCGTGTTTCTATAACTGTATAGAAACACGGAAAATGTTTTCTATTTCTTAAATAGCGATTCAAACAAATTTCCAATAACCTCATGCATGCTAATTAACATGCTATCGTAGGGTAGAGCAAAAAGTTTATATTTTGGTCAGTATATATATTAAATTCGTTCTGACACTTTTAGTTTTAGACGCGTAATTCGTTGATAATATTTCTCCCAAATTTGTTGTAATGGTTATAATGAATTCTTAACGTTATTATATAATTTGCTATGAATGCACGACGTTAATAATTTTTGGTACCTTTCTGATTGCATCTACAAAATTTATAATTTCGCTTGGTCCCATAGGGAAACAAGAAATTTCACGACTTGTTTTGGCACCAATTTTAGTTTGAATTGCTATATTCTCGCGTGTTGAATGCATATTATAGATTACCCCTGAAGTACGTATAGGCATAAGTAAATTATATTTAGATCAATGGTATCTTGTATAATGAATTATGTAGTGTTGTCGTAGATTAACAACACGTACTATGTGTATGGTTTCAGTTATTAGGCATTTGGTAATATGCCCGTGATAGCCACGCCGAGCTCGGAAAAATAAATACATTGGGTAATAATTACAGACATTGCAGATAATTTATGTAATACTTAGCTTATGTTCTTCACCTAGCTCTAACTCGAGACTGGGAACTTCTTATTCTAGGTGAGGTGGATTGTTACACAACTCTTAATTGTGTTTAGTTATGTGTATGTTAAGATAGAAAAAAATAGAAAATTTAATCTGGCAATGACGTAGACAATGAATTGATTTTTGCCACAAGACAACATGGGTAAACTATAATTTTCAGCTTAGCATCAAATGTGGTATAACAACTGCCACAATAGACAAATTTAGAATTGTTTTGTCTATTTAGGCAGTTGTTTTACCACATTTGATGCTAACTTGTTTGAAGACTCTGCCATGCTGCTCTCTGGTTATATTGCAAAGTATCTTTAAATTTCAGCCATTTATAATTAATTTATACCTTTCTTTTCGTACATAAAATTTCGTAGAATTTATCAAACTAGTACAGGTGAAATAAACCATTAAATACCCCGTTAGGACTTGCATTTCAATCTACTCAACTGCTATTATAAAAATAGGTACGGTATGGTTACTTGTGGGTAAAGGACTAGCTGGAGCGGATAAATAACAAGGCAGCGCATAAAACATGGTATAAAACAACTTTTTTATCATCTTTTAAACTTCTAAACGAAGGGTTATTCTCGAACTCCAATGCTTTGGGTATAAACATAGGCAGCCCAAATATGCGTGATAATTTGAACGCCAGTTGTGCAATAATATATATTAATATTCATTTTCTGTAAACTTACGTTCTGATTGGTCGATTTGTACCACGTGAGTGAATTTTATATAGCAACAACGCCACGGCAGTGCCGTTATAGGATTTATTGCACGATCAAAATGGCGGCAATAAACAAAAAATTTGCCGAACTTAGTTAAGAAGAAATTAATGTAATTATAGATGAATCCACACCGAAAAATACTAAACAGGCAACCGGTTAGGGTGTTTTAGTATTTAAAGGTAAGCATGTGTTGTTTATTTAAGTTTTAAAATGATATAAAGTCTTTACGAGTTTACTCAAAATGAATAATAAAAGCATTAAAGCACTCTCATTTTTTACGTCATGAAGCTTACAAACTAATCCCTGGTAACTGATACCTGATAACTTCTTTTAAACGAATAACGACTTAAAACTGCTTTAACATGACAAAATACGGCAATATTCGTTTATTTTTTTTAAATATTTTACACAATGTCATTTCAAGATAAAACTGTAGTAATTTATGCACTAAACTAAAGTATGAAGCCTGAACCGTCATGCTAATATTTGGCCCAAAAATCTCCACGAATTATCAAAATCAATTCATCAGGCTAGAACAAGCGGGAATGTCGTGTTTAAAGTAATTGGCATATTTGTTGACATTTTTCAAGCAAAGCGAATCAAAATTCCAAAATCTGTTTTTCATACTTCATTTAAAATAGTGAAAAATGTACCTTTTGACCGGAATTAGCCAATTAGGTTACTAAAAATGTAAACAAACCTGCTGCATGATTGGTCTAAAACGAAATTTCCGCGTGTTTCAGGCTAGCTATTCCAACTATGTAGCATAATTTTTTAATTTTTTTGGTGTAAAAAGTTTTTCCTGAGCTAAATTTCTTAGTAATCTTAACTTTATTTTCGCATGCGTCCGCATCCTGAGGTGCAACTGCTATAATTGTATAGTGAAAATCCAGGAAAGGATTTCTTTTCCATTTGAACAAAGGCTGCAGGTTTGAATCTAGCGAGGCTAAAACGAACCTCACATATAAGCTGTAGTTTTCTCATCGTATTAAGTAAAGTAACTGTAATAAGGTTATTCAAAGAATTTCTTGTCTAATCTCTTTTGAAGCTCTTTTGAATTCGGAGTTTGAGTTAAATTAAATCGTTCGTGTCTGACATACACACACTTTATTTGCACTATGTATAATTAAGTTTTTTAAATTAGTTAATTAAGTAATCATTTAAATGAGTAAAATTGTTTTTAACATTAATTATTATTATTATTTATCTAAAAGAATTCACAGTCTGTGATTGGCTAATAGCCATGTGTGAAATCGTCATATCCAACGTTTGACGTCATAACGTGTGATACGACTTTTTTTAGTGTGATAAATAGTCGTATCCCACGTTTGACGTCACACGAATGGCGAAGACATCAACACAATGGCTTCCTCAAGTGAAAGGTTCCGCAACTTTGTTCGTTCTTTTAAATAAATAATAAAACATTTATTGAATTTGGTTTTCACATGATATGAAGAATTATCAAGTCTCAGTTTATCATTATCAACCTCAGCCTTCGCCTTCGGTTGATAATGACAAACTTCGGCTTGATAATTCTTCATATCATGTTTAACCTCATTCAATAATTGCTAAATATTAACCTTCTAATGTTCACTTTGAAATTAAATGTCACGGTTTTACTTAATTTCAGGTTGCTCCCAACAGTTTCATCTAGGTTGCACACAATTGTACTAAAAGGATCATTATAAAGAATTCACAGTCTGTGATTGGCTAATAGCCATGTGTGAAATCGTCATATCCAACGTTTGACGTCATAACGTGTGATACGACTTTTTTTAGTGTGATAAATAGTCGTATCCCACGTTTGACGTCACACGAATGGCGAAGACATCAACACAATGGCTTCCTCAAGTGAAAGGTTCCGCAACTTTGTTCGTTCTTTTAAATAAATAATAAAACATTTATTGAATTTGGTTTTCACATGATATGAAGAATTATCAAGTCTCAGTTTATCATTATCAACCTCAGCCTTCGCCTTCGGTTGATAATGACAAACTTCGGCTTGATAATTCTTCATATCATGTTTAACCTCATTCAATAATTGCTAAATATTAACCTTCTAATGTTCACTTTGAAATTAAATGTCACGGTTTTACTTAATTTCAGGTTGCTCCCAACAGTTTCATCTAGGTTGCACACAATTGTACTAAAAGGATCATTATTTAATGATGTTGCCAGGTTGCGTGTATATCACCACGTTTTGGCGCAACAATATTTGTTGCAACATGGCAACTAATTGCCGCTCCAAAATATTGTTAATATAAAGAAGAACATCATTAGTGCCTTAGGAAAATCAACCTGTAAGGAGCCACCTGTTAATATATAGGCGCTTTTAATCATAAATAATTTTGGCAGTTTATCATTAAAATTGACGGGGTTACATGGTTTGATGCAGAGGAAATTTAATTTATTCCTCCCTGACAATATCTGGACTTAAAAAACTGTAAAACTCCGAGTAAAAAAGACGTCGATTAGAAAATAATTATGCTGCTTCAAACTGTGATATGCAAATTTGCGTTAAAGTGATGCCCGCTAAAGATGACGGTAGGAGGCTGTATGTCTTCAAACGGAATTGTTGTCGCCATATGAGCGGGCGAAATTTTTCCGAAAGACAAAAAGCAACATTTTTGCATCGACAAATACAATTTTGTAAGAAAGAATAATCGGCAAGTTTGTGATTTCGTTTCCCTTAAAATTCTATGCGAAAACCTGACAGGAACTAAAAGAGGTGAGTTAGTTTCACCCGCGATGGGCTGCTTTTTCAAAACACAAGCTCAGCTGCTTTTCACGGCAACTTAAGGTTATTTGAAATATAGTTTTACAAATGGAATTTTGATCTTTGTGTAAATGACCTATATAATAATAGTTACCCAATATATTGTTCGAATAATTTTGGTCTGGCTAAATGT